TAATAATATTATACTTCAATGATTCTTATCTTTTTCACAAACCTAGAAATCAAACAAACTTCATGTTCGAGAGCTATTTGCTAGCCTTTGATTTTCTCTTGAAGTTTATGAGACATACCTTTTGCTTTTTATATTGCTTTTAGAGCTTATTCTTTTCACTAGTTTGCAGGCCAGACCAGGTTGACCAAGTTTCCACATGTGTGCAATATGAGGGTTTTGGTTTCTGTACAAGCACCACTGGTAGTATCAGACAGTTAATGGTCACAAATTGTCCGGTTACATGTGGATTTTGTCGTGGTACGTTATGTATACTGAGATAATATCTCAGGTATATCGAAACTGAGTCATTCGCTTCTATTCTATATGATACTGCTACACTGATATTAAACCGTAATAAAACAGAGTGAATAAGACGCCTTTGTCGTCAGTACCAACTAAAGATCGATAAATTAATTTCATAAGCAATAATCTGAATGGGTGAAAAAAATATTTAGTGACTTCCTTTTTGTCCTTGATTAGTCATTTACGTACATAGGAAGATTTCTTCGTTAAAGCTCCCTTGCTGTTGTTGTTCTTGTTTTCTTTCAACAGTAACAGAAGGTAATAGATGTTTTGATGTCAACAGTAGAATTTGCTAAAGGGGCTGGGTAAAGGCAAAATTCGCCCAAGACCAAACTATCAGAATAAAAAGATTCAGGAAAAAAGTACTTCGTACCCCACCCCTGATCCAACAGTTCAAAAGAAGCTAGTGTCCACAGTGCATTTAGCAAAGGGAGGAGTTAATGAGCAGTTCCTCATATTCTCGAATAATCTGAACGAACGAAGTTGTCATTCTCAGTGACTACTACAATAACAAGCTTTTTTATAGCCAATAACTGTTGGGTAACGAGTGATCCGCTATTCCACGAGTTAAAAATATCAGCCTAATGTTTTTCTCCTCTCTCAAACTTTAGTTCCATCAACTCTGCCTATAACGACTCAGCAAAGGACAACAGTAAGGCTGACTACTCAGCAACCAACAACAGCAGCGCCAACAACTCAGCAACAAACAACAGCAGCGCCAACAACACAGCAACAAACAACAGCAGTGCCAACAACACAGCAACAAACAACGGCAAGGCAAACAACTCAGCAACAAACAACAGCGGGGCCAACTACTACAGGTCTTCCAGGTAAGACGAGGGAGGTATATACTTCTTTTATCAAATTAGCACCTGTCCATAAAAGGCCAATGACATACCATTATGAATATACATGTCATCTTCACATGTGGAAATATCCCTATGCCATGGCTACATGATAAATCCACCATTCGCAGCAAAAAAATATTAAAGTGAAATGGTTTGGTATTACATTGGTGTCTATATAATAAATAGAACATCACACGGCCTCTTGGAGATACGAAATTTTTCTCTTCGTGTTCAGAAATATTTCACTCGTTCTCTTTGTTCTCTCTTTTCAACACTAGGCGAGAAATTTCCTCTTTCCGCGTGGTCATGTAATATCCTCTATGTTAGTGATGTTAGTGACATGTATAAACTTAAGCTCGAAAGCTCCAAAGATCTTCCCCTTTTGTTTTTTTTGTTTAATGGAACGGTGATTCTACTTGGAAGATCCGCCCCTGTAGGCTTAACAATTATTACCTGTAATCCTGAGGGCTACCAGTCGGACGCTATGATCGTGTTTTTCTTATTAAATATGTTTACAATTTCTTTTAAACTAATAAACTCCAATTCAGAATTTTCCTGGTGTTCATTTCTTTCCTATGGCACTAATCATCCTTTTCAGCTGTTATGATCGTTGTGATTATAGTTTCATATTCTGTATTAATCAAATTTTTGCAAAGTGCAAAACGTCGACGACTAGTGTTCTCAAAACTGAGTTGCTACAACAAAGACACGCCAACGATCTTGGCAGCGAGCAAAAGACCTTGCCAGCTCAATCAGGTGCTCCAGACTCAAAAACGCTCCTGCCTCCAACCGAGCACGTCGAATGGGAATGGTGAAAAAAGAAGGTGCACGCTATTGGTGTGGAAAAACTAAGCTGCGAGCCGGTAGAAATGCCAGAAAAATCAGCACAGGGAGAACCTTCGACACCATCCACAAGGAATAGAGCACGCCGCCTCGAAGACATTCTCGAAGAAAGGGAAAAGCTGGGAAGTTCCCAAACACTGGAAAACGTGACACGAAAAAGCGGCAAACCCGGGAGCTGCGCTGCATAGAAACAGGGGAAATGCAAAACGTATTGGAGGAGAAAGGCTGTTGGAGGAAAAAGGAAAATGCGAAGCGCGATCCAAAAGGTTCTTTCCAACCCACAAACAACAAAGTTTAAGATCTTACAGAAAGGTCTCGGAACATTCTGGGGCACAGAGAAGCAATGTTTCGCCCGAGTGTTGTTTCGGAAAGTGGCGAAGGCAAACCCGAAGCTGTATAGGCCACAAAACAACTGGAAACAATACTCGAAAACTCAAAAGAGATGTTCTTGGTAGAAGAAGACCGCTATATATACTCGGCAAATGTGGTTTGTGCCAACCAAAATATAAAAAAATCCGGATACTCGTCGTTAAAACAAAATCCTTTTGTACAAAAGAGGAAAACAAATCTTCTGGAATCCCATTGCCGTAAAAAAAAAAAAGACGAAACAAAATTGCGAGAACTACAAGAAAAGCTGGAAGATGCGACAAAATATCTTGCAATAGATATGCAAGAAGGGCTCTATCTGGTGTCTCGCTATGAAAAAAAGCCCTTCCGGGGGTAGAAAAAACGACTCTCTTCCTCCTGCAGCTTGGCGATGACGGCAACCCAAAAAAAGATGCAGACGAGCCGGTTTGGGGATATTTTCTCCAACAGAGGCAGACGAAAAAATATAGAGCAGGTAGAAAGGTCTTTGTACCGCAATCTCGGAAAAGAGAAAACAACTCCGCAGACGAAGAGAGACATACTGGCGGTGCTGTATTCAGACCTCCATGCGTAAAAATCTACACCCACTCGCAGCTTTTGGAGCAAAGGAAAACATCGCCACAATTGCCAACGGCCTCAATAGGACCATACGGCCATTTTTCACACTCCGACGCTTTTTCCGTCGGCACTCTTGCAAGAATTGCACGCCCACGTCCGAAGTTTTCTTCCGCCAAATTTTGCAAAGTAGCCCAGTCGAGCACGAATTGTTTCGAGTAGCACATTTTTTCAAAAGGCCTCCAATCTCAGCGCTCGAGAGTGCTAATTTTTTTCGTGCAGCGAATGGCCTGGTAGGTTTTTGTTACGGACTACTTCATGTAAAACAAAACTGTTTCTTTGCTGGTTCGAAGGCCTTTTACGGCTTGGGTCCCGCCGGGCTCTGGCGCCTTCAAAGGCTTCCACAGATTAGAAGGGGCATCCAGTGTCTTTGGTTGCTTCCACAAAACATACAAAAAGGTACAACCTGTAGCAATAGATCCCAGCCGACGCTGCTTGGGAGGTGGAAACTATTTCGGTGTCTTCCAAAAAGGCGTTGCTGGTGCTTTCGATGGTGTCGTGAAGCCTCTCTGCCCGCTTCGACCGCTTCGTCGAAATCTTCCACGTCCTAAAAGTGGCTTTCTTATATTTCGAGCAGAATGCGGGTACGTCGACTTATTTTTTGCAAATCTTTCTGCTTTTCGAGCATTTTGTCGATTTTTACGGACAAACTGTCCAAAGACTGGATGCATGGCTCCGGCTGGAAGGCCGCCGGCTCCTCCGCTGGATAGGAGGTTTTCTGTGCATTCTTTCAAATTTTGTACAACCTCGATGTCCCAATACTATATCGTTTTGGGATGCCTTCGGTGGGCTCTTTGTCCCGCTTTGAGGTAATTTTTTCGACGTACTCTTGGAACAGTTTGGTTGCACTAGGCATTCCTATATATTTCTTGGAAATACCAGAGGGAACTTGGCATTTTCCAAGTGTACTTGTTTGCTCCCTTTCCATTCCTCAAGTGGACCTGGAAAAGAACATTAACTGTGTACGACTTTCTTTCTCAAGGATCTTAAGAACCAACCAAACTTTGTGTTAAAAAAGTTAGTTGCCTTTAGTTTTATTTATTTTTCTTACTGTTTTTTAACTTTAAATTGCTTCTTTTCACCAGTTTGCAGGCCAGACCAGGTTGACCAAGTTTCCACCCCGTGTGTGCAATATAAGGGTTTTGGTTTCTGTACAAGCACAATTGATAGTATCAGCCAGTTTATGCTCACGAATTGTCCGGTTACATGTGAATTTTGTGTTGGTAAGTTTTGGATACAAAATGATATATCTCATCTCACCATAGACCGACTAATAAGCTTACAATGTATATGTAATACGAAACGGTTACGTAACTGCATCAAAACAAACATAAATTAGACACCTTTGCCCACCTCACCAGCTTTGTGATCAGTAACAATGAATGGCTGAAGAAACGTACTTGTGGAATCATTAAGTGAAATTACTTTTTGTTGATTCATGACTCATTTACGTAGGTGGTCACTAAAGTCTTTTTTTGTCAAGCTTCCTTGTTGGTTGTTGTTGCTGCTGCTGTTCTTAATCCCACCTGGAAATCACTATTACTTTTTAGTTTCTCAGTTAATCGTAGTTGATTCTCATCTATTGATTTTCTTATTTTCGATTATTTCTTACCTTTTACATTATCAATCATCATCTTGTACTCTTTTTTGTTCAAAAGCAGAAATCGCCATCTTGCATCCAAAAACTTTGACACCCCAACCCACCCCACCCTCCCCCCCGAAAAATAAAACTTAAGTCTTACAAAAACTATATGGACATGAATTTAAGAAAACGTTAAGTGAAAAATTTGTCATCCCAGCTAATCCCATTTTTTCCAGATCTCATCAGCGATAGTTACGACACTTGAATTAACGAATCATTGTCAAGCGTTCTTTAGAAATGTTTAAGCAAAGAAAAAGGCATTTTACTAATTCTAGGGAAAAGAAATTCTCTGGGACGTTGTTGAAGTTTTACACTAAAAACTGGTGGTTTTATCAACTTATTAAATAAATGCAACTATTGTTTTTTTTTAAGTGCCACCTCCGCCTACAACCCCAGTTCCTACAATTCCAGGTGAGTTCAGTAACCTTATAAAAAGCTTCAGCATTTGAGCTAGTGTTGACTTATCAGTACACTTTATTAGTTAGCTCTTCTTCATGACTAAATTAAAGACAAATGAGATTATAACGGCGTGATTAGTTGGGGTAGAGATAGAAGGACAGTTAATGCCCTCCAATATTGTTTCAAATGGGTAACGTGTAGAGGAAGTAAAGCAGAGGTCCAAACTTGGACCTTTGAGGGACTTGGACAGCTCGTGCAATCGAAAAACCTAATCGTCGATACCAAACAACTGATGTTAAAACGAGAAGAAACTCTTTCAAAATTGGATAAAATGATCCACAGTATATCATTTATAGATGCAGACAAATCGAGTGGTGGTTGCAGCAACACACAGCGATTGTCATCAATGGATCGAAAAATGTCACTTTGAATCCGCACAAGGACTGTTTCGCAACTGTGGTATATTAATAGCTTGCAAACCAAGGAATCCACTGCACGGTGAAACCATTTGTTAGAACATCGTTCAGGCGAATTCAGCGGCAGCCAAAGATAGCACCGACCAGCTAGCGGAATGAGCTTAAGGCTTAGCTTTAAGTGTATAACGGTATTGTTAAAAGATACATTAAAGTTTAACCGATTTTAACTACATTTTTCATAAAATATAAACTATCCAAATTTCCTGCTAAAAAGCCACGTTCTCTTCGATTTGCTCTTGACGTTTTCGTTCCAAGTTTGCATATTTTATATTGCTTTTATAATCGATTCTTTCAACAGTTTGCAGGCGAGACCAGGTTGATATATCCTCCTTTCAATGTGCCCAATATCAGAGTTTTGGTTTCTGTACGAGCACTACTGATAGTATCAGGCAGTTTGTGGAAACGAATTGTCCGGTTACTTGTGGATTTTGTCGTGGTAAGTTTTGTATTTCATAAAACCTCAACACATGTAGGGACCGAATTATTGGCAAACTTTGAATTCGAAAAGTGGCTGAAGGAATAAATACACCTATTACCGATACTGAAAAGAATATTGTTTTCGTATAAACACACGAAGTGATCTTTACAAAATAAGAAAGGAAACCGTTGAAGTACAGCTTGGTTGACTGTTTAAATCATCCCAGCGTGGAAAATGTGCACGAAGCGGCTAACAGCGCAAAAGTTGGATTGACGCTTACAGACCTTTAAAACATATCATCACACAGTTTCACCCTTTCGCAAACAATAGGGAAAAGGTTTAAATGGATTCGGCAGCTCGAGCCTCTAGGAAAGAAGTCGTTTCACTGCACTATAAACGGTTTTCATCGAGCGCAGAAAAATTGTGCTTAAGTAAAAAATGGAAAATGCTGTTACGTTTCTGAAGTCTTGTCATACTTTCAAAACATTATTCCAAGAATTTCGTGGAATTTTGAAAGGTTCTTACGCATCAACCATCCACTCGCTCGCTCGGAGGTGAAATAATAGCTTAACACCAGTACTTCCAAATATAGTGAGCCAATCAGATTGTTTTAAAGAAAAGATCCCTGCGTGTGTATAAACTAATTTACACACGATACTGCTACATAACTTGCTAAAACAAAAATAGTAAATTTAGACGCCTTCAGTACCACATTGCGATATGCAAACTATATTTGGATGCTAAGAATCTTCTTGAAATCATACAATTTGACATCCTTCCTGCCCTAGCTTGATCAATGACTTATTTATGAAGACGAACAAATTTTTATCCTTTAATAAGCATCCCTTGAAAAGTATTTTTGTTGTTGTTGTTTTTGCTGCAGTCTTTTGTCCATTAAGTCACCATCTCGTACTATGTATTTAATCCTGGTACTAAAATCACCTTATTTTATCCAGACTTTTTTAAAAAACTAGCATTAAAGGCGACAACAACAACATCAAGACGAATTTATGCAAAAATAGCATTACCATACAATATTTTCAGTTATCTTAATTATGTTTTCGTGACTTATTTACGAGTTCGGAAACCAATATCTTGAAGTCATTAGACGAACTTAACATTCTTCAACTGTACAAAAAAGCTATCTTCGAATACAGTATGTTTTGCATTCCGCCCACAGCCGGCGTTACCGCGTAAATTACCTAGTGTTTATTTAGTCCCTTGAGGACATTTTAGGTTATATAAGCGGTATTAGACATGAAGACAGGGCAGAAATGGACCAGGTTTTTTTTGACGCTCCCTTTCGCTCGGAGTAGTCAACGTTTAAGAAGTGTAATAAGGAAATTACAAGTGGCAGAATAAACGTGACGAAAGTGCAAAAACTGGTTCGTGATACTCTTCTACGTGGATACGACATATATCCAAATCAGTCAAAAAAACCTGAACAAGTTCGAAGAAGAGAAGTCACAGGTTCTGTTCAAAGCCTCAAGCTCGCCGATTTGAAGTCAGTAGCTGACGAACAGCCGAGGAAAAGTCGCAAGCAGAAGCTAGACAAGTGGCAGTGAAAGCTCAAGACCTCAGAAAATCAGGAGCAGACTGAAATCTACAAAAGCAGCATATTCAGGAGGAAAAAGGTAAAACAGTTCCTTTATTACCGCAGAAAATACGGAGAATCATTTGAATTCAAGTTCAGAAGTTACGCAACTGGACCTTGCTTAGATGACACCTTACATGCAATTCAGAAGAGAGTTTCATGAAGACATTTGGATGCATTGATTACATGAGGATAAATTGACTTTGTTCCAATATTGGAAGTTAGAACTGAACAGTAAAGTTTAATATTTTATTCAATCGTTGAGAAAACGCACAAGGAAAAAAACACTTAATTTCCCGCTTAATTGTGTTAAGTTTGAATCGCGTAATACAACAATAGAAATAGTTACGTAATATAACAATAGAAATCTACATATCTATCACAAGTAATTACAAGTATTCAGCAATATACGCATTTGCAATTAGCGATTAGTTACAAACAATTATTAAGTCAAGAATGCCTCCTAAGGTGGACGTATCAATACTAATTGCGAAAAGAGATAGTACAATAGTCGCATTGTACGAACTTTTAGAAGAATTTCAAGTGCTTTACAATGTTCAGCCCGTATTAAGTACGCTTGAAAATGTTTACAAAGAAATGGAAATTAAGTACAGAAGTGTCAAAAAACAGCAAGAAGCAGTTACGGATAGGCTAATTGAGACGGGATCTACAGAAGAACAGCTTAAGGCTAATCAGCAGGTCGGAGATAAAGTCAGAAGCGATTTTCTAAAATACAGCGAAATTTTTGCCACTTATCAAAAAGCGTGCAATTCCCAGGAACCGGCGCTTAAGCACGATGCGCTCGAAGCTATGACCACAGCAGTAACCAAAATGGCAGACGTTTTAGGTTCGCAAAAGACCGCTAGTCACGGACTTGAAAAGTTATCAGTGCCAACATGGGACGGAAATAGAAAATCTTACGCAACTTGGAAGAGCGAATTTAACTATTGGATGTATAAGTACAAACAGGACGAAGACGAACAGCTGCAACGACTAAGAAAAGCGTTACCAAAAAACTTTTTCTGGTCTGATCAAGTGCGGCAAAGCAAGAAAATCGAGCAGGCGTGGAAAATTCTTGATACTGAATTTGGAGACCAAAGGAAATTAATGGACACACTGCTAAACGAAATTACCAATCTCAAACCAATAAAGAATGACTCGAACTCGCTCTCGCGTTACGCTGCTAGAATATTAAGCTTCGTGAACAACATGGAACAAAACGGTTGCGCAGTAACAAGCACATCGGAAGCACCCTTTGTCATGTCACAGCTTCTGTCTAAATTGGATGCCAGCGACAACATTGAATTTGGCCGCGAAATGCTACGCATGGGAAAAGAAGAAAATGTTTTAAATTTGATTGATTGGCTAAACAAAGAAGCAAGTTTACGATCGCGCATCAAAAGAGACACTAACTATCGCAATAATTCAAGAGAACACCGTTCTGACAATAACGCTAACGACAGTGGACTAGACCAGGATGAAAAATGCCCACTGGGTTGCAAAACAAAGCATTTACTTTCCTTGTGTCCTATGTACCAAAAGTCAACAGTTGATGAGAAATGGGAAATTGTAAAGCAAAACAATCGCTGTCGAAAATGCCTACGAGCCCATCATACAAACTCTTGTAAGAAGCCCGACGGTACCACTTGCGATAAGTGTACGCGACGCCACCATCGTTCCTTGCACAATGAGCGTGTACCTCTTGCAAATTCAGACCAAAGCACAGAAACACTTCCATCCGCAAACGAAAGCCAAGAAGCTAGTAATCACAATGTTCACGGCGAGACAAGCGTCCCCGCCATTTGTCCAGTTCAAAAAGTAAAGATTAGAGGCCAAAATGGAAATTTTACCGAAGCCCTAGCTATGCTAGATAGCGGCTCAAACACGAGCTTCATTTCAAAGAACGTTGTGAGGAAACTTGGCATACGCGGACCCAAAACGCATTTAACGATGAACTTAGCAGGAGGCCAAAAGAAGTCGGAAGCATCAGAGTTTCTCGATATTACTGTTTTTTCAATCACTGAACCAAGTATTCAGAAATCTATGCGAGCTTATGCAATAAACAAGCCATGCAGCCAAGCTAGAACAATCTTGAGAACGACTTTGGAAAGCTATCCCCACTTGAAATCAATTTCAGAGCAATTACATCTATCGGGCGGAACAGTTGATTTGTTAATTGGAACAGACTTTGCCGACGCCTTTAATGATATTCACGTTATCGCAGGGAAATCCGGAGAACCAATTGCAAAGAGAAATTGCTTCGGGTGGTACGTCATGGGAACATTTGCTTCAAAGCAGGGTGAACGTCCCTCGGCTATCAATTCAATTGATGTAGGAACTGTTGATGTGTTAGAAGACATGAAAAAGCTCCTTACACAAGACATGTTGGGAGTAAGACCAACCGAACTTTGTACGTGCAGAGACAATGATCTTAAGGAGAACAAGTTTATCAAATCAATTTCAGAATCGACTCAGATTGTTGAGGGAGAATCCAGGTGCGAATGCCTTGGAATGGCGAGGGACCCCCAAAGGAGAGCAATTACGATGTTGCATATAAAAGAATGATTTCTTCTGAAAAGTCCTTTAAGAAAAAAGATTGTCTCGAAATCGTTGAAAGTGAAGTTCAAAAGTTGCTGGATCAAGATTTCGTCGTTGAAATTCCCCTGAAAACGTAAACCATGATCAGCCTGAATGGTATTTGCCTTTACAAGCCGTGTTCACACCTGACCGAACAACGCAAGTTCGACTAGTGTTTGATGCCTCAGCGAAGGGTCCAAGAGGAAAGTCGCTTAACGAGCATCTCGAAAAGGGACCAAACTACATAAACAGTTTGCCCAACGTGCTTATGGCTTGGCGCTTTGACAAAGTGGCTTATACCGGAGATGTTAGGAAAATGTTCAATCAAGTGTTAATCCATCCAGACGACCAAGTCTTCCACAGATTCCTATGGAGGACAAACGAAAGTTTGAAGCCAAAAGTCTATCAGTGGAAAAGACTTAACTTTGGAGACAAACCAGCCCCAGATATAGCCGTAGGAGCAATCATTACCTTAGCCAAAGCTTCTCAAGACCAGTACCCGGAAGCCGCGAAGGAACTCCGAACCCATGTCTACGTTGATGACATTGGTGGCTCCCGAGAAAACGAAGATAAAGGCAAGCAGATCACGAGTGAAATCGACGCCATTCTCAGCAAAGGTCAGTTTCAAATCAAACAGTGGCATTCAAACAACAAGAAAGTTGATCAGACAGATGAACAGCATGTAGATTTTCTTGGCCACAAATGGAATAAGGTTCGAGACACCATTACCTTTAAGAAAACAGAGATTGTTGCAGAGGAGAAGCCTGTTACAAAGAGAAATTGCCTCGCCTACCTGGCCCAGCTTTGGGATCCCACAGGCCTCGTGACTCCAACAACCATTGAGATGAGAATTGATTTACAAGAACT